TTTTTTTTTTTTTCTTCTTCCTGTGGAGCAACTCAATTAAGAAGGAAAACTGTACCTGGAAACCACACGTCAAGATGACCTGAGTTCAGTATGAAATCAACCAAACATCTGTCAAATTTTCAATGGAAATATTTAAGAAGTTCCCTGAAATTTTTTACTGTTCTGAAACGGGTATAGGACTTTCAGAAAACACAATGTTTCAGTTTTGCCAGTCATTAGCTACATCTTCTCAAAATGATGACCTTGTGGCTTTCATTTCAAGGTCATTCTTAATAACGCTGATTCTAAAGGGAGCTTCTGAAACTGCCACAGGGGGAGCCAGGCAGTCCTCCCCTTTTACCTTTCCCATGGTGTTGTACTCCACTGCAATTTCCCGGAAGAAGAAGTAGATATAATCTCCATAATCCACTGCTTGGACAAAGTATGGTTCTGCAGACAAATGGATACTTTAATTTGGGATATGTCACATGGTATTAAAAGAATTTTAATCAAGTGTAACCAAAGTCATGTTATTAATTAAAAGTATATAGCTATTAGGCATTTGGTGAACACTAACCATTCTAATTCGAGTGCTAGTGATTTCAGAAGGCACTCAAGCTTACAAATTATGTTTCAGAAGCTTTGCAATCAACAATAAAGAATAAGTGAGTCTTGCAAATCTCTGTAATTTCATTTTCCACAATGCAATGTTCTATTGTGATAGATTTTGTACACTGCCTCATCACCCTGACTCACTCGGGGTTGTGAATCGCTTCTTTCCTGTTCCCTACCACCTCCGATCCCCTGTTCTCTTTCATGAATGAACTGTTCATTTCTTTTCTTGTGGGACTCTGAAATGAAAGTTTGAAGCAGGGAAAGACGAATGTAACATATTCTTTTGTCATGGCACTGGAAGTTTTGTGAATACTCCAGAAACTCATGGGAAGGGAAAAGGGGAGGCAAATAAATCAACTGAGGCAAAAGACGCAATTTACAAAGTTTTGTCTGTCAGAAACTATTACTAAAATGAATTTACAGTCTTGTCCATCCAGACTATAAATCTCCCACAAGATATGTATTATCCCCTTCTCTTTTTTCTTTTAATTGTTCACCTTTCAGCCATTTTGAATCATGCTTGACGGTCCTCAGGGTAGGGCTGTCTCCAAGACTCCGGTAAATGACAGCATCGATGGCAAGGAAGTCAGTCACTGTGGCCGAGTATAACTTTCCATCTTAGATGAGAAAGAAGTGAGGTGAACAGGGTGCGAGCCAGACAGAGGGGGTGGGGAATAATAAAGACATCTCCCAGATTGCTTTCTGACACCAGGCAAATGAGAGAGGACAACTGGGAAAAATCCAAGAGTCGCTAGGATAATACTTGGCCCACATTCCTAGCCATTTTAAATTGGGATCATGAGAGATGAAACCTTTTTCATTTTTAAATTGCATGGCAATTTTTTGTAGCAGCAGCAGCAGCTCAGGGAACAGAGTAAATGAAAAATGTTGTTTGCTTCCCTTGATTAGATGGGCTTTGACCGAAATCTCAAGGCCAAGGACCCTGGGACACTGCTGTTGACACCACCCCATGGCAAACCGGATTAGCTTGGAGCTGGGGGAAAGATAGGAGCTGATACTATCTGCCTGAGTAGGTGAGGGAAGTGAAGAGAGAGGGTTCCTAAGCACAAAAGAGCTGACTCAATTACTACTTCTGTCCAGAGAGTCATCCCTGCTCTCACCTCAGGTGCGAACCATCAGTTAGACCTGCCAATCTAGATATTTGCTTCAGGATTTCCTAAGTCACAAACTGAAAATATTAAGATAGACAAGATGCCAAAGCAAAGAAGAAAAGGGAAGGAGTGAAGCTGAATTCAAACTGGCCTTTCTTTAAGGATTCATGCTTGCTGGGAGATATACTTGTGGGTACACTCAAGCCAGAAGAGAATGAAGAAGAGTAACGATTGGTCCCTAAATCTTCTGGTTCTTTCCTGGATTAGCAAACACTAAATCAATAACCAACTGGGATATTGCAAAAAATCTATGTAGATTACATAAAAATAATAATTACAAGCAAAATATAAATTCTTTGATTCATTTTTAATGGATTACACATCTCCATTAGTTATATGTCAGTGACTTAGGCACGGCATAGTACTCAAATTCTTCCACATGAAGGTTTTTTGTTTTTAAAGAAAGCTTATCCAAACATACCTAAGCAAAGATCTTCATGTCTACTTTTGCTTTTAACTCAAATTTGGTCAGATTGAAGTTAGAACTACCTTGATCTCTATATTATTAACAGCTATATATCAAAAGCTGTTGTTGGTTTTGGTGGAGTTGAACTGCAGACAACAAACCTTTTCACTGATGAACACTTATCTGTAAATCACAACTTTTCTCATGGAATAAATATTTTATATTCGCAGAGCCCCAAGTCGCCCTGGGTAGGAGGGAACAGTGGGAGGGTGGAGAGGAGAGTGGGCCGTGGTGATGGTCATTCCTGCTAACTACTCTTCTGGACTCCTTTTTACACTCAACACTGATGTGTCACCAGAACTTCACTTGTAAAACAGAACGCTCCTCTGCCACTCTTGACAAGCTAACACCAGTTGCTATGAGGATTTCCCATCACCAAGGGCTAAACTTTTATGAGATTTCAAACATTCCAAAGAAAAACTGTCCAAATATGTCACTCAGGGATGGAGAAAGTCACTGTCTTAGCTCATGTGCCTTGTTCTTTATAGCTCTTGGAAGCTTGGCAGCCTTAGTAAATACTGTGCCTTTTCTCTCCTTTACTTCAGACCACAGGAAGTCCTCTTCTTAGTTTACAGTTAAATTAAAGTCTCCCCTGCAGCTCACATCCTCCAAGGTCCCGATTAATGCATGTTCCAAGTGTCAGAAAGGTGTTCCAGTGCTACTCATGCACTTGGGAATACACTTAGGCCCTCTGGACCTTGGCCTTCTCCCATCCATGCCTGTAAACTGGTCTGTGAGATTGGTGACAGTGCTGCTTCCCCGAAGTGCTATGCTCTCTCTTAGTGGGAGAACCCACTACAAGCTGTCACTGCAGGCAACTCCACAGGTGGGTGACACTGAGGATATGAGGTTCAAAGAGCCAGGAACTAATAATCATAATCAAAGCCCGAAAGTTTCTCATTCAGCTAGGATTTGCAAGATTTTAGTTCTGTGGTAGAAATTTTAGCTAAGTGCTTTATTCTATATTATAACAATCACTATTATATCAACATTTCTCTCTACACCCACATACACATACACAGCTGGTAATGGATTCCTAAATAAATTCCTAATTAAAGCATACTCATACACAAAAATCCCACTAAATCTGAAAATGATGGCTTATTAGCAACTTCTTTATATCTTCTGTAGTGGAAGGATGAGATGAGGGTGGAAGTGTTCTGGTCAGAGAAGAGTGTGTCACCTATTCAGGTCAATGATGTCTGGAATGTCTGCTGGAAACTTGTGGGTGTATGGCCTCAATGCTGTGAGTGTGCTTTCAGGAGTCTCCTTTTGTTTCCTCCCTATGCTCTTCAATATGTAAATAAGAAGCCATAGAGCTGCATCCTGGAGAATGTTGTTGAATTGAACCAACCCCAAAGTCTACCCTACCTCCAACATTAATCCACATGGGTGGTCTCAGGTGAGATTTCCTATTATCTGAGCCCAAACATGCCATCACATGTTCAGTGTTGTGTTGCTATTTTTTTCTGAAGGCACAAAAGCATGGGTAAGTGTGGTGAAGGTTTCTTTTGAGAAGTACAGTCTCCATACTAATTTTGAATGGAAAAGGCATTCTTAATTACAGTATTCTCTAGAGAATCAAAGTACAACTATGACTACATGAATCCTCCAAGGCAGATTCTCAGTGACAGGATAAAATGAGCAAAAGCAAATGCAATGAGAAGAAATCAAGTCATTTACCTGCAAACAGTGCAATGTTGGCATGTTTGGCATCATAAGGGCATCTGGCCATTCCACTAAATTCATCCCCAAAAGATTCCAAAGTATCGATCTAAATAAAATAATAGGGCTTAATTATAAACAACCATCAACAAGTAGTAACTGCAACTGACCTTTTTCAAAGTGCGTAATGTGCAAAATAATTTATATGCATGCTTGCAAATTATCCTTATACATGCCCTCTGGGCATTGGTTTCAGATAAACCAATTGGTCTCTCAACTGGGGTTGAGAGAGATTAAGTCAAATGACTAAGACTCTATTGCTACAATACCCGGTAATGTGGTCCTGTCTGCTTGACTTTTGACCATTGCAATAGATTTCTATCCCTGATAGAATTCCATCCCTCTCAACCAAGAATGTCTGAGGCAGTCACTGGGAAAATTCACCTGCCCTAATTATCTGCTGAATCATGAACTTTATAGAGAACGACTTTTAGATTCTGGTTTTGTTTTGCCTGAGGAGTCCTACCTTAGCGGGTTAAATCCCAGTAAAAGACCCTGAAATTTTTTCCTCAGGTTTGTCAGCAAAACAGTATTGCACCAGCAAAGGTATAAAATCATGGATGTGAGCAGAACTCCAGTGGCCTCTACACCTACTTCAGAATCATGGGATGGCAGTTCTGAAACTGGATTTTAGAAACATGGCTCAGTCCAAGTTGAGGGACTCCCACAAGTCAAAAGCAATAATGGGCGGGCCACCGTGAAACTTACATCTATCGGTGTCCAACTCATCTTTATGCAGGAGGTTACAAGTGCCCTGCCAGTGAATTCTATTTTGCTAAATTAGTATGGGGGATGGTGGTGGATAACTCCAATTTAAAATTTCTTTTACACAAAAACCTGGGTTTCTAGCTTCTTTTGAACAAGTGGAAAAGTCAATTCAAGCCTTTCTTAAGCAAATGGTCACTATTCACCTATATTACTCTACAGGTGACAAAACTTGACCCTATAGACATTTGTAGGTGGGCAAATCTTTACTAGGTGCTCACCAAACTTCATTTCCCTTCCCTCCAGATCACCTTAAGTGCATTTCCCCTCCCATGTGACCTCTGACTGTGCACTGGCCATGGGAAATGAGTCTGAGGCTATCAGCTGCCTCTCGGTCTTGCTCCTGAAAACCTCTAGGACCCCGCATCTTGTTCTATTTTCATTCTCCCCCACTGGACATGGAGGAGCCCAGGACCCCAGGGGACTGCAGTGGTCTGAGCAGGATGGAGGCTGGCCTTCTGAATAGCTTCATGACTAGACCCTCTCCCTGACCCACACTTGACTATAATAACATCAATCAGAGGCTGTCCACCCTGAACAGCAACACCACAGCTCCAGCTGTGTAGCACACAGTTCCTTTCCTTCTCTGAGATTTCTTCTTGAAATATAAAGTCTCCACCCCACTGAGTCCATAAAATGATCTCCACACCGTATTAAAGCCATCTGTGGTTCAATCCCCTTTCTAACTTGAGATATTATGTTTATCATCTAGAAGTTGCATGATTTGAAAACCGAAAACAGACTTGAAAACCGAAAGGACATAAATCTAAACAGCACTAGTGCTAAACAAAGACCCATATAAAGGCTGTCAGCAGTCCCTCAGGCTGCACCACCGTTGGTGTGTCCTTTTTGTCAGTTGTGCCTTTTGCGCTAACCCCATTTCACGGATGTGAAAGGACTTCCTATGTGAGATGCCCTGCTAAAGCCAGCCTTTTCCAAACTGGAGTTGAGAATCACATCATATAGTTGTGTTTAAAAAATATATGTTTAGGGGAAAGGTAGTCAAATCAGATATATGTTAAAGCAGTACACTCCTCTCCCTTTCTTTATGAAAGTCTTTTACAAAAGATATTTTCTCCCAACAAGAGCTTTCTGTTGAACTGTGGCGGACTTTGTGGTATGTGGGTCTGGCAACTATTCAGAAACAATGCTTATTGCACAATGATGCAACGGAAATGCCCTGTGCCCAAGCAGTGCATGTGCTAATCCTGGCAACAGGGAAACAAATACAAGGGAGAGGTGTTTTTTTTAAATGTATCTGCTCCTAAAACAGTGGCTCCAGCTCTAGCTAGTCAAAGTCAGGGAAAAATTAATATATTGGTTTGTGATTCTGAGAAGGTCCAGAAACAAAATAATGCCATGGTGAAATCCTCTTTCCATGAAGTAAGAAGTAATCCTTGTATAGTCATCAAATCTCAGGCCTCAGAGCAGCCCCTGGGAAATTAAATCACCATAGGGTACAGATAATTATACAGAGAACCAGCCTGCCTTTGGCAGAAAGTTCAAGAGGTTCAGAGCAGAAGAGGAAACAGGTATAAAGGATGTAGAATTAGCCTTTCAAATTCTTCCCCAGATAATCTTATTAGGGGCTATAATCTTTCTAACACATTCAGCTTCCTTTTGTAACAAAAATTGTATGAATCCGGGCACAGCGTGGAGGCAAAGACTGAAAATCTGTCACTTTCCCGTTTCTGTTACTCTAATCAAATTGATACTTCTGATGATGCAACGTGGGTTTTTTGTTGGAAGACTTGTTGTTGTTTTTGCTTTGTATCTTTGGTTCTGATTTGTTGATAAGAAGCACTTAAGAGAAAGGTGCCATGGTCCCTGCCGCCAAATATATTATGCCCCATATCATCAGCAAATCAAGCTGTGCTCTGAAGGTAAGATAAGACTTTTTTAATATCACGGTTTCTTATAAACCATTTACAGGCCTAGGCACACAGACATCCCAGATGTGGCTTCTGAGAAGCCCAGTCTCCTGAACATATTTCTACAAGTGTGGCTTCAGCAAATAAGGGCGACAGCATCACTCAAGGTGAGGCACCTCAGGAAATTGAATACCTGTGTGTACAAAGGAATAAACCAGACCACACATGGCCTGTGGCTCATGGCGCAAAGAAAACTTGTAATGTGTCATAAAAGATAGCTTTCCAGCTAGAGAATTCCTTGCCATGTGGAAGAAGAAGCATTAATCTTAATGAGTCCTGAACAGTGACAAGCTGGGATGGACTATTAAGAGGTAGAAGTAAGGTTGAAGCTTTAGCTGTCTGCTGTTATGGCTAGAATGAATGTTGGGCTGGGTGGGTTGCCCCTGTTAGGAATGGATAGACTGTCTTTACTTTAAAATTTGATCTTTTGTTTATGATAGACTTTCTGTACTAATTTTGATTCTTAAAAATATTTCATGAAAAATCAAATTTATCTTATGTACTGCATTTGGGGTGCTCCCATGTATTTTGTGCCTGGGCTCCCTTGCCTCACCCTACTCCTAGCCTTGCTGGCCCTTCTCAAACCAAGAGGAGGCAGGGTCCGTGCTGGAGAGCCCACTGGCTGATTTCAGCCTGTCATTGCTTTTCTATTCTTCATACCCCTAGGGTTGTACTTGATGACGAAGAACCCCAAATTTCTTACTTCTTCCCACATTTCTCCCCTAAATCAAGGCTGGATATAGCTAGCCATTCCTGCCCCATGGGCACTGCCCTCCATACAAGACACACTGACAATGCTCAGAGCTAAACCCGCAACCTTTCAGTCCCCCAACCTCACTGTCTATTTATCTCTCCAACCTCACTGCCTCATTTATCTCCTGTCTAAACTGGTCACAGCCCCATTTGTCCACCACCAAGAGATAGCCTGGCAGTCACTCTTGGCTCCTCTCTCTCTCTCGCTCCTTGTTCTATGTGCCTTATCAATTATTAAATCCTCCTGGTTTTTGTCACATAAGAATTTCCTGAATCCCCCTTCTTTCCATCCCTAAGGCTACTTCCCCCTCCAGCCTCTTTCTGCTCTCACTTGCCACTTCACAGCCCAGCAAAGCAGAACCAAATGAAGCTTCTCAGGCTCAAGAAGCCATTTCTCATGCCATGCCTTGTCCCTGCTGTTTCCCCCACCGGGAATCATTTCGCTAACCTCTACTGATCCTTTAAGGCAGAGGTTAGGCAGCACCTCGTCATGATTTATTCCATACAAACTCAGCCCTTGTTTGAGAGCCCTGCATTAGGATGTGATCCCTGTCCTTACAGAACCTCTGGGTTTCTTACAGGCTGGAAGTATTTGTGTTCCAGTGTGAGAACAGCAGCTAGGGACTCTGAAGAGAATCCTCTACCTTCTTCCTGAAGCTTTCCCCCAACTGGCCATCTCAGGCTCGTGCTCCCATAATTCTCTGTATTATGTCACCATGGCAGCAACCCTATGGAATTAAGAGTTTTATTATCCCTGTCTGCCTTCCCTAAGGGTAGAGGCCTTCTTTCTCCCTTTACAGCATCAGTGCCTGGCTACAACAGATACACACAGCAGCTTGCTGAGTAAAAGACTGCGGCAGGAAGAAGGGACAAGAAAAGCAAACGAAAAGATGCAACGCCAAGACCATAGGCCACTGCTGCTCTACTTGTGCTGCTGGTGAGCTCCCGGCTTCCTCAGCAGCACCTGTATCAGCTGTGTCTCAGCTAACTATATTTACTAACTCTTTGAGAGCTATGTTTTTTTTTTCTTTGCATAAAGGCCAAAGTAAGTAAGTCAAGTAAGCAGTGAGTGCTAAATGGAATTAAATTCCAATGCTCTTGAAAATCTTACCAAGAGGAAAGTCTATGGTTTCAAATAGCATGCCTTTGAGACATCTTTTAGAATAGGAATCCCTCACCAATTAAGTGTGTTTTTGTGCTCAGGAGAGATAGTGGGGTGGGAGGGAGAAAGAGAAAGAGAGAGAGGAAATCCACACGGCATTACCCCATGGTAGGTATGTTGTTCTTCTGAACAATGAAGAATAGGGTCTTACAGAAACTACCTTGCCTGGGTATGCTCTTTACAGTTGTGTCAATCAATCCTGAACAAACAGGAAGCTCAGAAGCCAGCACAGGATCACTCATGTGGAGCAATACATTAAGCTGAACAAGGGAATGGAACCCAGGTGGTATTGAATAACCCCTCTTAGGTTGCTGCAGGTACAATCACAGGAAATTACGAAATACCTCCTGGTCGTGTGGTTCCAACAGACAAATGGCATTTACCTTGTAGTTCCTGCAGGAAGGGTTGAAAGCGTTTGTTCCACAGACAAACAAGGTATCATCATTTTTCTTTAGGAGGACTTTAATAAAGTTGTGACACTCATCCTAAAAAAATAATTCAAACTGTTTGGTTTCAAGTCCACTCAATACAAAAACCTATTCATTGCCATACACCACGATCTGTCCACAGCAAAATTAGAGTGAAGGCATCTGAGGAGTTCCCATGTTAAATGTTTGAGTTGCCAAAATGTTAACCAAAAGATGATGCTGACAACAACTGTTGTTTCAGCAGTACATGGCACAGAATGGAAGTGTTTTTATTTTATGTCACAAAAGGAAGGCAAGCTGGACTGCCATTAATTTTAATGCCAGATGCTCCAGAGTCCCTTGATGTCCAAGGCTTCTGGTTAAATGTGTTTTTGTGTCGTTAGATGACCAAAGGCATGAAGCCTGAATGCCTTTTATGAATGCTTCCCCAGACTCGCGGAGGTGGAGTTCGGGAGAGCAAGCACTAAGAAGACTCGGGCAGCCAGCTTTGTGTCCATAATCACAAGCGTTCTTCCTCAGTGTACGATGCAGTCCTAACGGCTGTTGTAATGTTTCATCACATTAAAAGCAAACTATTTTTGCAAATTAAAGCCTTCAGTAAGTTGATGGAAAAAGCAATTACTGGGGAAAAGGGAATAGCATGATGCATTCTACATCACAGTCTAAGGCTGGAGATAACCGTCAAAAACTTAACCCAAAGTGGCAGCTGCAGGAGGAATGAAAATTGCCTACCTTATGTTTTCCCTTCATTCTGCATGTGTCTACATCAGCCTGTCTAGATTTCCATGTCAGTTTCTACAGGGATCAAGAAAGAAATCAATTAGAGCCCAGAGGTTGTTGCATTTGATTTTTAGAAGTAAGAGTTCCCTTGGGGAGACTAGAGGCTGAACATATATTTATTGAATGCTTTCCACGCCCTTTCTCCATGATTAATTCACCATAACAACAAAAGATTAGAGATGGAAACATTCATTTAATTTTGAACTCCTATGTATTCATTAAACTACGAAATGGCCTTCTCTGAGACAAGATAAAGGAGAAAGGGAAGAAGAAACAATAGCCTGGAAATTTCACACACAATACCCAAATTAACTAGCTAATTGTTGCTCATTTTGATAAAATGCATGTCCTTGCCCTTTTCTTTCAGTTGCTAAGTCAATTTTTGTAAAGAAGGTTTTATCCTTAAAACATGGAAGTTATTTCCTTAAACATAAAAGGGACATTCACTTCAGGTGGACACAGATTTAACTCAGGTTGAGCTCCTTGTGTAAATTAAAGGAATAACGGGGTCTTCTAAGACTCGGGTTTAATTAACTAAAATGATGAAGGAAGACTGGGCTGGACTTTTTCTAAAATTGATAACTACCGGGCTGAGGATTTAGCCCAGTGGTTCCAGCGCCTTCCTCGCAAGCACAAGGACCCGAGTTCGATCCGTGGTACCAAAAAATAAAAAAATAAAAAAAATAAAATTGATAACTATCAATTTCTGAGGCACAGCGATCAAATCAAGCTTAATACTACAAGACATAGAAACATTATTGTTGAAACATTTCGGGGACAAAATATTACTTATGAATTACTGATATTTTTTTCCTGGACAGAGTTGGGAATATTTTATTGAAGGATTATAGAAATTACCTAAATCTCCAAAATATACATGCATACATCAATACAAAAAATATGAAGTACTTATTTCTGAACACATATTAAACCCTTGTGTACCTCCAAATTAGGAGTTCACAAAAAGTGTATTGGTATTGGCATTTACAAATTACAATTAGCCACATCATCTTATCAATCATTTAATATATATATATTCTCTTCAAAACTAGCCTAAGGTCCTCCATTTTAGAAAGATGGTTTTAAAACAACTTACTTTGCTACAGTAAATTTCTTCTGTGTGGGATGTATCTATATCAACTGTATAAATATGATCCCTAGAAACAAAGAAAGATTAATACAAGGTCAAACACGGGAGTTAACAATCTTTATTTTCTAATGAATGAGTTTCATCTCACTCAGCACAGAAAAGTCCATACCCATGCTTTTTAAAAAAATAAGCCATCCACACGCTAGACCTAAGATGCCTCTGAATCACATGCAGCACCTCCTGATCCATCATGGCCTCTGGCACTGTGGTTCTCCTTTTATGAAGACTTTGCTTAGTCTCCCTCTTCTCTAATACCAGAACTACAATTCCAGAATGCCCAGAGTGCATGTGGGAGGGCATGAAGGTTAAACTGGCCCAAGACTGGAGCACTGATAGATCTCGAGCCTTCTCAGCATCTACAAACCCATGTACTCAGTGCTTGGTATTCAACATGCCACATTGTTCGCCAAAGGAGCTAACCCAAAGCTGATCTCCACCTTCATCTCTTTAGAAAATGCATTTTCAGCCTTAGCTTTGATGATTTGATTGACAAGATGGAAGATGATAAGGGTGAAATTATCTCCAGAAGCCACTCTTCACAAGATGATGGTCAATTAAAGTCGAAAATGCTCTGGAACTAAAGTTTACACTTCTTGCTTCTGTTCACCTTCCTGTTTTGCTGAGAATTTAGCTATCTTTATAGTTTGCTGCCAATCTCCCCTTCGAAGGAGAGAAACAGAATCTGCAGCTCAGGTGTGGGGCTATATTTAAACCTCCCCCCTTCTGTGTAAGCAGAACACAAGGGTGTTTTTGTCTGAAATTCAGACGACAGAAAAGAAAAGCACTGTACTCAATGGAGGAGATGGGGGCTAGCGAGGGAAAGCCAAACAGCTCATTTTCCCTTGAAATAACATTGACTTTTTCTAAAATGCAGGAAGTCCTGGGGCTGGAAAATTATCCACAGCTTTAAACCAAGACCTCAAGGCCTCCCATGCAGACTTTCCAACCCTTACATTACCTAAAAGGAAGGAGTGGGGTAGAAGAAGAAAAAAGGAATTATTTGCAGGATTCATATATATGCATATACATGAATATAGTATATGTATATACACAGTTTTTGGGAAATGTTTGCTTCTGGTTTTTAGGGAAAGGACATAGAGAAAAATGAAAATAAGCTTTTCACATAAAAAGAAGGGGCAGGGCTGTCAGCTTATAAAATTCCTTGCCTGCTACTGAACTGTATGGGTGTGTGTGTGTGTGTGTGTGTGTGTGTGTGTGGTAGTGAGGGGAGAATAAAGAACCTGTTTTGTAAACTGCTGGATGGGAAGCTTCTTCAAACTTCAGTAGGGTGCCAGAATCACTATGCCCTTTAATTTCAAGGCAATTCACTGCATTCGTTTATTACTTGTTTGACTTTATAGTGCTGTAGTGGTCAGGCACATTATTGGAATGGAATTCAGGTTTGAGATGACTCTAGGCTTTTCCTTGCCCTGCTACCCTTCAAAACTGCAGTAGGAGCTGAATATATGAATTGTAAATTAACAACTGATTAATATGCACTGGCAACTCCCCAGAAAGCTCTCAGATTGCCCCCTTTTGGCATGGCCTGTTTATGTTAATTAGTAGTTTAGAGATTATAAAGAAAGACGAATTTATAAAGTGGATAACAATAAAAAAAGAACTGAAAGGGGTTCTTGCCACCAAGCCTTACTCAGTCCCCAGGGTTCTGGATGGGACTGGCTGTCGATTGCTGACACCAATTGTTTGGAAGAACTGGGAAGCCTTTTAAAAACAGAAGTGCATGAATGAAATCCCCTTTTGGATAAAGGCAATCTTTTTCACTATCTTGAAGATCACATGGCCCCAGCAAACAGAAATAATGCTCTATGGTCAGACATGGTCCGGGTGGGGGTGGGAGTCATTCCCAATGCCTATGTGCATAGCCCAAGATTCATATGCTGCTCTTCCTGAATTAAGTTATTTGAACATAAACTGACTTAATCCTAGGACTTCCTCTTCCCATTGAATTGTGTTGCCATGGCTTAAGCCTAGGGGGGAGGATCTAACATGAAGTCCTGTTACTTGCTGCCTAGGAACCTAGGTCCCTCAGAACAATGATGGAAACTGGGAAATTAAAAGGAACAGCCCCACATATGGCAGCCACTGAAGACCTGTATGAATTTTTCTGAGTGTATTGAAGGGAAGCAGCTGAGTGTGGAATAAAAACCAACATGTCAATGAGAAGTTGTTACAAACTTGACCTTTAATGAAAGCTGAGTCTGTTTCATAGTTTAAAAATAAAGGAATGTGTTTGTTTTCTCCCCCTTTCCTTGGGATAGGGAGGAGTTCAGAAGAAACTGTCATAATTTTTTTTTGGTACGGGGATCGAACTCAGGACCTTGAGCTTGCAAGGCAAGCGGCAGAACCACTGTTCTAAATCCCTGGCCTAAAACTATCTTAATTTTAATGAGCCACTTTTAAGTCTGTGAAGCACCTAGCTTCCAACATTTGTATTGCTGGAACCTGAGGCCCACACCTGTGCTACGACATCAGGTATAAAGGCTGTCTGCTGCACCGCTTTTGTTCCCGGAAACTCAACTGCAAAGTGAACAATGCACAGGAGATTTCTGAGTTAAACTACTTCTCACAGATCCAATCTTTAATCATTTGTCTTGACCAGCCTTTTGGTAATCCTGTACACATGTAATCTAGTCTTGCTATATTTCAGAAACCAAAAGAGGAGCTGGTACAATACCAGAGAGGTGGGTACTGAGTCCTCCCAGGAACTGGGCTGTTTCATGATGAACACACACATTTAGGCTGACTGCTCCTGGGTGGCAGCTGTGGGAAGGGCATTACCAGGACGGATTGTCCAGCTCTGCCTCTGAATGGGCAGCACAGAACAGGAAGTGGCAGTGCAGCTCCCAGTTTAGGGTCTCCCTTGTTCAAATCCTGCCTCTGTCACTGAGCCTAGTTCTTTTCCTGCTGTGTCCTTGGATTCCTTTCAGAAGACATGGGGGGGAATAGTATCTCATAGGGCTATTTCTCATAGGGCTATTTCCAGGATTGAACAAACTGATATTTATAAAGAAATCTTCAACTACATTTGTAGCTTATATGGACATACCAGTATGTGCTATATTTGTGAAGTAAAAAATGTTAAGTGTTTTGGCACTGCTTCCTGTGCCCAAATCTGGCTTATTCTCAGGATGCTTTAAGCATACCTAAGCCTTTTTACTTTATGTTGTCACTGCAAAATATCTAAGTGCTTTAAGACAATTGAAAACCCTTGTTATTTACCTGATCTTTACCTATGCTCATAGCAGGATACAATCAGCATCTCTATATCTTCTTCCGGAGGGGGTCGGGGGTTTTTCATCTGCCTACACAGGGCTTCCAGGTGCTCTCTACTTGGAATTATTCTGAATAAGCCACACAGCCAAAATATGGGGGATCATATATTGTTGACACCCTAATGGACTCCATTAAGATAATCTAACCCCTCATTCAGCAGAGGACACTTACAGCCAGAGAAGTTGTGGTCCAGGATTAAAACAAAGCCCAAATCCATGTGGTTTCTACTTAGGTAGTATTTGTGCTATGCCATTTAGCCTTAAGGCATCAGTCTAAATGACATTTTTCCAAAAGGATGAGTAATTTTTTTTACTATAATCAAATTGGAAATCACTCTGGAACATCCAGTATTATGCTTTCTTTGGGTGCCATTGCCATTCTTTTAAAGTAATGATACATACTATATATTTGCTGCAAAAATAGGTTTAATATAAACACACCTACATGTACACTGTAACACATGTTTATACATTCAACTTGATTTAACAAATAAGGATCAAGGAGCAGAGCACTCTAGTGGATGTTTGGGTAAATATTTGCATATATGTTCGAGATACTTATGGATTATTTGAATTTAAGCACCAAAATATGCAATTATTTCTCTGTAAATCCATGCAAAGTTAAACAGACCCAGAAAATCTTGAAAGAATGATTGCTTGACAAAATAGGTTGTAACTTAAATAATACAGAGAACTTCAAGTTCTTAAAAAAATGATGCAAAACTGCAAATGCAGGACTCTGAATGTTTGGGATATTCTAAAGAAATGTGAAGAAGAGTCCGCTCACCTAGCAGCAATGTAGAGGGTTCTGTTCATGATCATAATCATCTGGATATCCAGCCTGTGCCTCTGTGTGGTGTTCCGTCCTGGCTTGTGGCCCACAAAAACTGGATACTGTTTTGTATCTGTAAAAGAAGGAGATGGGGCCAGAGGGGGAAAAGTAGATCAGGCCAAGAATTCTTAGGGCAGGATGACAAAGGAGGAGGCCCCAAAACACAACCACTTTTAATTCATACCATGTCCCCATTTTTCATCCCCAAACAAGTGTTATTTTAGGAAATACTATGACAGAAGCACACTCTTTAAGGAAGATCAAGTTACACTTCAGTTCCAGATGACAATAAGCTGGGAGTTAAGATTTCCAAGTGTCACAATTTCTGGGGGTTACACTTGGTAGTGAACCCTTTGCATGAAGGTGCTCTTTTCTTCTAGATTTCTTTTCATCTTGTGTAGAGTGCTAAGCCTGAGGGGGCAGACTGCCAAAAATCTTGTCTTGGGACAGAACTATTTCAAAGGCGCCTTCCCATCAATCACCACAAAAGCAATGTGGTCTGGAGGCGAGAGCCTTCGTCCAGGAGCCAGAAGAAAAATACAGTCTCCACAGGCATCCAGTTGGAATAAGCTACTATTGAAGGCGGCCCTGCTAGGCTGGATGGCATTCGAGGAACTGTGGGAAGTTCACTCCAGAGTTAAGCAATTGGCTAATATCACAGAAATGTGAGGTTTGACGGGTCTGGGTCAAACTGAGTGTAGCCAGTCAGGTGATCTGGAACTTTCCCTGACTTGGAAAGTCAATAAGCACATTTCTCCTATCTTGCAGTTCTCTTGGGCTGAGAATGGCCAATGTGCAATAACATCTAACCTTTCAAATTACCTACACCTCCACATCTCCCTGCCTTTAAACCTACAGTCTCCAGAGCACTGGCAACCTCCTCCCTCCCCTTAAATGAGTCTCATTTGGAAGGAGTGTTTTCTAGGGAGAGGGAGGGGTTGTGAGTAATGACTAGAAAACCATTTGCAGATTTACACTTAGTTCCCTACACTTTAAACCACTGTAGTATCTGAATATTATGCACAGTGTAATTAGAGGGCTTGGAATATTTTACTCCCAAGCAAGTGGCATAAGATTAGCTTTTGCTTCTCCTTCCACTGTTCTAAAGTTTCATTTACTCATTCATAAAGGAAGTTCCTAAAACAATTCATGTCTCTACTATCATGGATTTGGATGACTCGGATGTATGATTTTCATATATATGTTTGGGCTAGTGTCTCTTCTATACTGTGGTGCCCAAGAGAAAAAACTTATTTGAGATGGAGATAAACAGATGCTTATTTGTACTTTAAGGGTGGGGGACTCTACCATTTTTGGAGTGATGGTCTTGACTTCAATTAAGACCCAATTTGGTCTTTAATCATACCCTTTGGGCCTTTTGTTCCCTAAGTGCTTTATGTATCAGTCTTGTCACCTCAATTTTATCTGAAATTATCTTCTTTTTCAACTCATGGAGTCCAGCTGAGAGCTGGGCATTGACGGATCGATTAGTATCCAATGTTAATGATATACATTCTTTGTATGGTTCATTCAGTATGTTGGGATAACTACCGGGAAAATGGGTATTTGGGAAAATGTTTGTTTTCACATTTACTGAGATAAAATAGCCTTTGGGAGAATAAGAAAAAATAGTAAATTGGATGTTCTATCCAACACACAGGTGGAACTTTCCTCTTCGGAGAAGAGGACTGAATTTTCAATAATGGCACTGTCTACCCAGGCAATAAAATGGATACCAAAAAATGTTACAAACAGTTAAAATAGGTCCTCTGTAGATTCAAAATCACTTTTTATCCAAGACTAACAATGATACAACTTCTAAATTTTAAAGTTATTTTTTTCTAAAGTACCCTAATCCAGTCATTATTTTCTTTTCATATCTTGTAATGATGCCCATATATTGACTATAGATGAAAATGTGTAATAACACGAACACTGAAGTGGTAGTAATATTCTTCCACACAGCTAGTTTTAAGGTATAGGCATGGCCTCTCGATAGTCAGTCACTGAGACTTCATCAGGGTTACTGAGGGACATTTCAGGGGCTCACATCTGTCCCCAAAATAAATGATGGAGTTACATAACTGTCATCATACCATTTTGACTAGACTTAGATTATTTACTTTAGCCATTTAAAATGACATCTACTTTTCTGTTTAATATTTCTGTTTTTTTTTTTTTTGGTACCGGGGATCGAACTCAGGTCCTTGCGGTTGCGCAGCAGGCGGCAAAACCACTGAGCTAAATCCCCGGCCCTAATTTTTATGTTTTGCTCCATTGATCTAGGCTGAAATGTCTGCAAAAGGAGACAGTGAGTGAATTTGTGGTACTTACAGTTGCCATGCGAAATACTGATTGGCTCAGAATCTTCTGGGAAACCAGCCCCAGCAAAATGCAGCAGTGTGAAATATAGCAGCAAGGCTTCTGACCTCATAGTAGTTCAGCGGGGAGACTTTATTTCTCTACTTCACCCTGCCAAAAAGCAAAGACAGATATTTTTCTTTTGCAAGTCAGCTTTATTCAATTTCATAAAATGAAATGGTCTTGAAGATGACCCAAGACAAAAAGACTTCTGCTTCACACCTTGTCCGTTGTGAATTCACTAATCACTGTGTCTTACACAAAGATCTTGATGGTACGAAGAGCCCACTGTACCCTCTTTCCCCTGGATCTGAGACCTTTTGCAGAGCTTCTCCCAAACACAGTGGCTCCATTCCTTTGAGCCATCCGTAGGCCCCTATTTCACGATTAGGCAATTCTGCATCCCCAAAAATGTGGATAACTGGCAAACATCATTTTCTGTTTCAGTTAAATCTCTTTCTTCACAGCAAGTTTTTAGAAATCAAAGGTGCTTTGTCCCAAACATGTTTTCTGTGGCTAGCCCAAGGTCTTTGAGTAATTTGAAGTAGTTGCTGATATTGAAAAATTAGGAGAGGGCTGGGGATTTAGCTCTCAGTTGCATGGCGCCTGCCTTGCAAGTGCAAGGTCCTGAGTTTGATCTCTGGTACCAAAAAAAAAAAAAGAAAAAAAGAAAAATTAGGAGATCTCTGATAATAATCTAGATTTCCAGCTTTTTTCATAAAAGAAGATTGTCATACTGACTTCAACAGTATTTTCTAGACATTACACACCAGCTCTCTTGTTTGTGCTGACACACACACGCACAATCCCATTTGCTCATTTTTATCACTTGTTGAATCCCTTGATTGATATCTTTTCATCCTACTTCATGTAATTCTACAGTGAGCTTAGACATAGACAAAAATCACACAATCTATGTTTAAAAAGCAATAGTTAGATGCTCTCAGATATTGTGAAGAATACTTTAAGGAGAATCTGAAACCACATCCTGATAGAGTACTGCAGATTTTTAAAAATCATATCTATATATTTTAGTCTGAAATATTACCCTACACTGGAAGAGTAGTAAATAAAATGCCAGATGTGTGGTTCTACACATCTGTATTTTCTTAAGGATGCTCTTTCTGTGTAGAAAAATTCTCCTAAATCTTAGGAATAAAAATCCCATGTGGAACTGCTGGATACAGGGAAATAAGACATGTAATACAGTAAACATCACATAATTCTCAGGCACTTTTCAAGTGTTGATCTACCTGGGAAATGAATGTAAAATGCGGTATGTTTTCATCCTTCCAGGCTAGTGCTCTTTAAAGTAGACTGCCAAAGAATGTCTTTTCTGAACAAAGGTATGTTATAGAAGTTCATCAATCATTTAAGAGTTGCGTGTAGAAACGTCAAACTTAGTAACCTAGATGTCTTTGAAAGTTAATTTGGCAAACAAACTGCTATTTTACACTTTCTGGAGCACCATTTAATATTAGATACCTATGTCTCTTTTCTTCATGCCAAAAAAAGCATTAATAAGTCCCAAGTGTTGTGTCATAACTTATAATTTCACAGACACAGCTGGGTCTTAATCATTTCTTCAACTGAAAAGTGCACATTAATTAATTTGTTTTATCTTGAAAATCAAAGAGGGAGAGAGGTTGAGAGAAAAGCCTAAAGAATTCCATATCTGCATCTCTGATGTACAGATTAAAATTAAATTCAAATGATTCTTTGTTCACAAGGGCGGCCCATTACTGAGAGACACAAACATGTATTTATAGGTGAGTTAAAAGCAAGTCTATTTATTTATCTATTTGCCAGTTCTTTCTAGTCTAGAGAGTGTGAACAAAAGGGAAAGAAGCTTCTGTGGGGCCATATTTGTTTCTCACGACTCCTGTTCAACATAACATCAAAGGGGAGAAAGCAATAGCAAGAGTAGGTAAAACATAAGACACCCCTCAGCTGTTACATTTTAGGTGAGGGAGCATATGGGGAAGCGGAAGAAACTGCAACACTTATCAAGGGCTCAAGAGCAGAATTACAGCATTGCACAGAAGCATATTGCCTTAGCGTTTGCAGCACATGATGAGGAAAAAAGGAAATGGGAAAGGTTGATACTCATTCCTTCAGAAGTCTTGGGAAATACATGTATAGCATACTTTTGAAGATTAACTTTTCTTATGACAGATGAGCACTCTTCCACAATTGCATTCATCTTTGCACAGGTGTTCTCCAAGTTAACAAGACAGAACTCTGCTACATTATTATATTCCCCCAATTTTAATTCTTTTTGTAGATTGTATGTGCTGAATGCAAAATTCTTAACTCCTGAAGCTGGCAGGAAAAGCAATGCATACAGAAGATGTCTATTATGCAATTCAATGGCTTCTTTTAGTTCTTCCATATATATAGCCAGGATCATGGCTAGGATACATCATTTAAGTATTTCCAGGTTTACAAGAGGCCTCTCTGCCATGAAAAATAGCTGTTTTATGTGTTCTTCTATCATCACATCATCAGGTAGTTACCATGTACATTATATGCGTGAAAGTCTGCTGGCAGAACTGGTTAATCTTGGCCAGTCCACACAAACTTTAAAGTTTTCTTTAAAGCTGAAGTTTTGATGTATTATTCCCTTCCTACTCAACTTTGGGCCCTAAACCTTGTATATTTTTTTTATTGAAATGATTGCTTTTTGGAGGAATCCCAGTTCAATTACACTGTCATTTCCCATCTCACAGAACATGGACTGGGTCTCCCACGTAACATCCCAGCAACACAGACTTGAACCAGCCCAGGAGAAAAACTAAAACTTTCCACTGAGTTTTAAAATCTTGAGTTAGCTGAGTTGCTGCAAATTAAGATGCTGTTTAAGTAACTTTTCAAACTTTAGAAAGTGCTACCCTCACATAGCATATCTATAACTATCTGCAAGCATCTGTCAATTTCCTTGCCTATGACTTGCTTAGATAGACCAACTAGGACACAGGCTTCAGCAACTACCCAGAAAACGAGATGAGAGGACTGTCAATTTGAGAACTCTAAATAAAAACATTTACTTCAAAAGTAAGCTTATTATGCTTGAATTTTCCATCTAATTGTCTCAGCCTGTCACTATTCTTAGCCTGAAAAGAACTCACCTTTGTAAAATGCACCATTCCTATGAAGTTATAAATCTACTCTGCCCCAGCTGAAGAACATTCTTAATTTTAATAGGCATCTGTTTTGTGAATTTATTAGGTCTATTTCAGTTCATCTAAAATTAATTTGTGTTGACTTTCTACACACTCTGAACTCAGACAAAAAATTTTTTTACTGTAATTTTTCATGACAGTTTTTAAGACCAAATCAAATAATTAAAACGGTGATGCACAAATGGTGTTATGACTACTGGCTGCCATGAGCCAAGTGAACCATGCAGAGTGCTAACTGGCCAGGAAATTGGCCTTCAGGTATTCCAGATTGAAGACCAAACAAAGGGGGCTACTAGGAGGTCTGTCTGAAAATCTCGCGGAGGAATTCATCCTGATATCGTGTTTTAAAGTGATATATTTTCAATGATAGGAGTTTCCATACACACACACACACACACACACACACACACACACACACTTCCCATGCCTTCATCATCTAGGTTGCTGTGTTGGCAAAATGTGAAGCAAAGGGGACACCAGTGGAACTGGAGATGACTGTGAAGTCAGAGAATGAGGACAGCAATTGCCACATCTTAGTTCTAATCAATCAAGTTCATTTCATAAAGCCAGGAGGATTGAAAAGCCATGATAAGCCAATACAGTCAAAGTACCACTAGGTCAAATCTTCTGCCCAATTACCCCCTGAAAAATTACAGTGGGTTCACAAACTGGTAGTACAGTACTTATCCAAAGTTGTCTCATAGAAAAAAACTAAATTAGCAACATATAGATAAAATAGATTTAGCATACAATTCTAGATTTCTGCCTTCTCAAAAAAAAAAAAAATTAATCAGGGATCTGGCTTGGCTGGCCTGTGATGCCACACGGCAACACTCTGGGGCTGAGGGGTGGCTGCCCAAAGTGGAGGGGCTGACCCTCCTCAGTTGGAAAAATCCACGCCACTTCCCCTTTTCTTAGGAAGCCTTCTTCACCCATCACCCTCCCCTGCTCGACCCCTGAAGGCTTTCTCTGAAAACAAGCTCCACACCACCCAAGTTAAGGACATCACTGCTGTGGCATGAGATACTCTGCTTATGTTTACCATCCTCTGCAAGGTGCTGTGTGTTGGCCTTAGCAAATGGACCCCATGAGACCCAACACATAAACACAAAAATAAATGGAAACTGCTTTTTAAAAAAGACCCAGTTGGGCCACTCCATGTCCTGTCTACATTTCCAGCTGCAGCCGGCGATGCAGTAATGCACTTGCACTTGCAGTAATACACCTGACTGTACGAATACAACTTAAATTTGATACAACAGCACCTTCTAGAACATTGGCACCTAGTGAATATTTTAATAATAAGTGGTAATGTGAAAAAATAATATACCTGGAAGCATTAAGATTGGCCTTAAAATAAGGAGGAAATGATTGTGGTAGTCTCTTTTTTTCATGGGGAAAGTTATTTACGACCATGTTTCAGTAATTCTTTTAAAAAGCACATTTTCTCCTGACATCATAGGAAGTTTTCAACATAATCAATAATTCACACTGTCATTAAGAAAATGAAAGGCATAATGCTGTGACCCTAGCCCAGTCAACCTTGCTTGCTCCCCGTTCTCTTACCTGTAAAATGAAAGGACATTCAGCATAATGGCCTATAAAACTTGTCCAGACTCTGAGATTGCACTATTTGAGATGATTCTTACCCTAGTGAAGAAGGGTGTGCGTGTGTGTGAGAGTAACCATACAAGGCACGACCCCGAGTCAGCCCCTCCACTATCAAACTCTTCCAAGGCCAGCGACACCATTGGAGGTAGGAGGCTGATGCAGGAGGAGTAGGGTACCCAAGCTGAGGTGAGTTGGGCATGGGAGCCCCCACATCTTCCCTCTTTGCTCTGTGTCAACAGGCTAATTACTCAGGCTCTGGTTGTGTCAGGCCACCTAGAAGCTTATGACCAAAATCAGGGAGAAAAAAATTCCGTGCAA